CCGACGCTTCTCCGCAGGATCTGATGAGGGACCTCTTTCTTCATGCCCCTCACGCTCCAGTCTCCTGAGGGCTGGTCGAGGGGTCCTGTGAAGTCACTATCTGGAGTCTGAGGGCAGGCGAGACCCTCCAACCTGGGGGTTGTCCTGCAAACTCAGGGACATGTGTGGATGTTGTAGGTGCAGGTGGGGAGTGTGGCCATAGGACTGAGGCCGCCTTCTCCAAGCCTGGGGGTGGTGGTGGTGGTGGTGGTGGTGGTGGGGAGTTTATAAAGGTGTCAGCTTCTGGAGCAAGACTGCCCTGGCTTAGGTTCTGGGCGCCATCTCTCCTGGCTGTGCCGCCCTGAAGTGATTTAGGGGAGGCTCAGTTCCCTTCATTGTAAAGCAGAAATGCCAGCTGCCTTCTCGGGTTCATTAGGAATAGGGGAGTGGGCCCCTGTGACGCACAGCGGGGCCGCAGAATGACGCAGGGTAGACTCGCTGCCTTCCCTTCCCTCCCCCTCCAGGCACCTGCAGCCAGAACCCTGGAAATATTTCCCCAGCTCTCCATGAGATACCCCATGGATATCAATGCACCCCCATTCTCCCTGAAAGCACCCCTTCTCATCAGCCTCCCGAGGAGCAAGCTCTGTTAGGGCCTCAGGCTGTCTGTGTTCCCCTATTTTGGTGACCAGGCTTATCTCTGAGAACTGCTGGTTGGTTACAGGTGGTGTCCTTTGCCCATCTGAATTTTCTCTTTTTCCTCTTTGAATTGGGTTGCTTGTGCCATAAAGAAAGGAAAAAGTTAAGAGGGGATGAGGCACATTTTATAAAAAACCAGAACTCAGGGGTTAGGGGTGGCCCCCCTCGGCCTGGCGGGGATCCTGGGCCTAATGCCCAATGCCCCACCTGGGAAGAAGCAGGTGGCTGGGGGAGAACCTGCCTTAGCTGTGGCCACCTGAGCCCGGGGCCGCGGCTGGAGGGAGGCCCGGCCCTGCACTGCCACGCTCTGTCCCCTCCGCAGCCAGCGCCAGCACCACCCTGAAATGCGTGGGTGTGGGGGAGAGGGAGGCGGGAGTCACGATCCGGATCCCAGCCAGACGCCTTGTCCTTTCAGAGCAAACGGGTGGGTCCCTCTGGTGGCCGCGAGGCCTCATGGCAGCCCCTCCCTCCCCGTGCCCTTGGCGGTTGCCCAGAGCCCGCCGACAGGTGCCAGAAGGGAGGGCACCCGGGACTGGGGATCTGGCCTGGCCGGGCCCTAAGGCGCCGGATTAAAGCTCATTCCTGACCGGTGTCTCCACCGGCCCGATTAGAGCAGCAGTTCGATTGCTCCTGCTTCTTCCCAAGCAAGAACCTTGCAGAGGATAAAATGCGGCTGTTCTGAGGAGACTGAGGGGACATACTGGCCTCCCGGTTCTCACCCGCAAGGGCAGTCCCAGAGTGAGGAAGAGCTCACAAGTCGTTCACCTGCTGTTTCTGGAGGCTCTCCGGCGCCATAGCCCTGGCTGGTCTCATGAGATGTGCAGGCAGAAGCCCCCAAAGAGCCTGAGGTTCTCAGTGCCAGCAATCTAGTTAGGCAATCACTCCCCACATAAGTTCTTACCTGAGACCCTTTGACTGGCCTCTTGGTCCACAGACTCCCCGAAATTATATGCAAAACATGGGTTCATGAACATTCTTTTTTTTGGAGAGAAAATCCAAGAGTTTTATCAGATTCTCAAAGGTCTTGGAAGAAAAAGAACCACAGAATAAGAACCAAATTTAAGTAAATGAGCCCAGAATGTTCTCACCCAGCCTGTGTGAATGAGAATAGATACTTCCTCATCAAAATATAAAGTGTGTCTACACAATAGTGACTTCAAAATAGCCAACTCTGAGGGGGGTAGATGTGTGTAGATGATACTCTCTGCTTCCGCCCCAGCACCATTGGGGGTGTCCTCAGGGATAGCTTTAAGGTACAGAGGAATCAGGCTTATTTGTAACTCATTTTTTGGCCCCAAAATGGCCCTGCTTGATCACCTACCTTAGTCATCAGCTTTGGAACCACTGACTGTCAGCTGTTTGCACAAATTCCTTAACAAGGCAGAGATTTGTCACCCTCAAGAGTATTCAAGCGAACATGACAGTGTACTGAAGGAGTTCCTGAAACTTCCTTCGGAACTCAGAGTGGGAAGAGTATGGGAAGACATAGGCTTGTGAGCTGACTACTTTGAAGAATCTGATAGGTGACTTGGTAATGATGGTTTGTAAGTATGACAGATGAACTAGCAACACGCAGAAGGGGAGATAAAAGTTCAAAGAAACATGTAGAGGAGGTCAGAGCCTGGAGAAGTCGTGATGGCCGGGTCGTGATGGCCGGGACTGTGCCATCTCTCGCATCATTCCACAGGCATTTGTTGACAACCACATGGGGCCCTGGATGACTAAGACAGGAGTGCCTGGGTAACAGAGGAAACAACCCACAAAGAACCAGCTATCAAACTATGTGGGATATGTTATAACTCGTAACTGGGGAAGTAACTCCTCCAAATTCCACCCAAAGTGGGGTTAGAATTCACCCCCGAATGCCACCAAATTCTTCCAGTGCTGGGGCGGGAACAGGGAGCAAAGAGCAAACATCCTGCTTATCAGGTCTATTGAAAGCTAGACTTGCAAGAAGTTGGTAGTGGACTCTGCCTGGCCCTCGTTCCTCTCCCTGGCCTGTATCCTTCCCTTTGTCATGTGTGACTTACCTGTTCCCCACAGAAGGCAGGCTGTGATTCCCTGCCCTGGACAATGGATATTAGCAGACGTAGTGCAAGCAAAGTGTTTAAAAGTGCCTGCATCTTTAGGTGGGTTTTTCAGTGCCTATGCCATTGCCATGAAAAGAATATTCTGAGCTAACTCATTGGGGCCAGAAAAAGAATGAGAGACATGTGGGGCAGAGTTGCCCTGACTGAAGTTCCCAGCAAGCCCAGCCTAGAGAAGTACCCTCTAACTTACCCCCAGATGCTGAAGTGACCCAAATGAAGTCAGCAGAAACCCTGACCTCCATTTGAGCACAGTCTTTATTTCTAAGATTTATTTATTTATGCATACAAGAACTGGGGTACAGGCCAGAGGAGTGGGGGCTGAGAGGATTCACCAGAGACAGACTGGGGAACAGAACAGGCAGACTGACTGAAATACACAGCTGAGGGGAGCAGCAGGCGAGTCAGGGGAGGTCTACTGTGCCATGTGTCTCCTCCCTGGCCAGGGATCGAACTTGTGCTGCAGATAGTTTCATAGGCTGTCTTAACCCCTTGTGCCACCAGAGAGGCCCCTGAGCCCAGTCTTGATCAGCCTCCATCTAGTCAACCCAAAGACAGAGAAGACAGACTCATAAATGACTGTTGTTTTTAATACCTGAGTTTGGGGTACTTTGTTTCACAGAGACCGTTGACTGTTGTGAAAGTTCCTTCAGAGTTAATCAGTAAATTTTTCCTTGTCTAGGAATCTGAAATGCCAGACACTGATCATAAAGAAAAACATACTTGTCATTCGGTGAATATTACTGAGCTCTTACCAGCTAGCGTGTTCAAAGCACTATGGCAAGTATAGTGTCTTTAAGAAACTTGAAGTCCAGTAGAGGAGATGATGTAAGTATAGAACCACAGAGAAGTTAAAATGTGATTGAAGTATCACAAAAGGGGTTAAGAAGTTTAGAGTAATTATTTCCAGATAGTTGGGAGACAGTGATTGGGAAAGAGATGAGAATTTATTTATTTATTTTGTATAGAAGAACTAGGATGTAGGTTTGTGTGGTGGGGGCTGAGGGGGGGCGGTGTTGAGAGGATTCACCAGAGATAGAGTGGGGAGCAGAACAAGCAGATTTACTGAAATACACTGCTGAGGGGAGCAGCGGGCGAGACAGGAGAGGTCTGCTGCTCCATGTGGGTCAGCATCCTGGCCAGATGGAACTCAGGCTGTAGAGGTGATAATGCTGAGGCTAAACCCCTGGGCCACCAGGGAGGCCCAGAGATGAGAATCTTGAAGAAAGTCTAGGATTTAATAGGCAGTGAGTTAAAGGACACCTCTGAAAACTAGGCCTTGGGAATGGAGGTGATCCCTTAGGCAGGTCATTCACATCTGGCTGTCTAATTAGCTCCTTCCAGAAGCCGTCTACTCCCAGGCAGCAGACTTTCCTTCCAAAAGAACAAATGCAGATGCTGTTCAAACCTCAGAGAAAGGGCCCCTTCAGCTGTTCATTCACCCAACAATCCTTGAACGTACACTGTGCAAGGACCCAGGACTCAGGCATGACAAGAAGAGAGGGATGGACATGGTTGAGAGCACAGTATTATCTCAGTGTTACCAGAGCTGAAGCCAAAGTGGAAATAAGACATTGCAGGAACCCAAAGGAGAGAAAGCTTGCCCTATTGTGCTGGTTGAAGGCAAAGTGGGCTTCCTGGAGGAGGTGACACGAGCACTGAACCTGTGAATCTTGATGAACCTTATTTTCCAGGCAGAGCCAGGGTGATGGATGAGACAAGAAGATAGTTGTTCTCTAGAGCTCTGTCCTCCACCATTGTTTTTTCTTATTTACTTGCATTCCACTATCTCATTAGTCTCCAGCCTTCAACTACGCCCTATAAATGTATAACTCCCCTGAGTTCTCTTTTAGCCAAAAAGTACCAGGGTAGTATCCCATTTCGCACTCATTTTCATCTGGATCCCTAAACCCCAAGTCCTGTCCAGCCTGGAGGAGAAATAATGATTTCTTAAGAAGGAGTTGGTGAGGAGAGGTCTGTTTCAAGGGGCACATGCCTCGGGGCCTTCTAGATGGGTGTTCTGTAGGAATGAGTTCTGCTTGGGGTTCCTTCTGGAGGCTTGGGGTGGGTGTACTTGGAGCTCTGGGTGGAGCTCACTGTCTGGGGCAGTGTTCTTCCATGGAACTTTGTGATGATGGAAATATTCACATCTGCAATAGCCCCGTGTGGCTTGTGAGCACTTGAAATGTGGCCAGGCAAACCGGGGAACTAAAATTTCAGTTTTATTCCATTTTAATGAATTTGAATGTAATGTCCATAGGCAGATTGGTTACCAGACTGGACAGCGTGGGTCTAGGGGCTTCCTGCACCTCCCTCCAGCCTCTGCAGAGGGCTCCCTGATTGTGAGCACCTGGAATGCCATGGGGTTCGCCTCTTGGTTGCCAAGTTTGGTCCTCAGATGCTCAGCCTTGTGTCCAGCTGCCACCTGCAGGATTTGGAGAGCAATGGACAGAAGTTGGCCTGACAGCTTATTCCTGGGTCTCCTGATTCTTTCTAATCTCCAACCCCAAGGTGCCTGACTGTAGAGAGAATGACTGGTGACATGTATGCTGGACACTGTCTCAGAACTCTTTGAGAGCCCTTTGTGGAGAAGCCCCAGGTTCCCACCTGCCATTCTTTTGAAGTCAGCATGTAGTAAGGGTCTGCCTGGGCCTCATTTTCATCAGGGGTCTGGGCTTGTTTTCAAATCATAAAAAAGCTGAACATTCTCAGAGAAGCTGGACTTTCCATGAGCGGCCCCTGCAGAGATTTTGGGGTTGGAGGTCATGGCTTACCTCTGGAGGATATGAACATCAGACCAAAAGGGAGTCTACCCTGAAGCCAGTGTATCTGAGTGCCTTTATCTATTTCAGCCTTTATAGAGGATAAGTCGTGTCTATCAGTAGCAATGCTTCTCACCCAGGTGCTCATGGCCCCTAGGGGAAGGTTCTAGATTTCTTGAGGGACAGCTCATGTGTGGTATAGACCTGCCCCTCTGCATATCCAGCTTTCGAGGCACATGAAACACATGCATGCAACTCCCCTACCACGAACTCCAGCACACACAAATGTAGGATTTAATATTTTAAAATACTGAGTGAACTCAAAATCAAGAAAAATTACTAACTGCTGGCAATAGAGTGGGAACTACTGCAGGCCCCCCATAGGGCCTGTGAACTACTACAGGTCTGAAGAACTATGATCTTAGGCTCCATGTAGGGACTGAAATTAAGCCTCATGGGACAATATAGAGATAGATTTGGTTTCTGTATAAGGAGCCAGGGACAAGACCCAGACAAGAAATTCCATGTTAAACAGGTAAAATATTAGGAACATGAACCTCCTACCTGTAGGAAGGTGGAGCACTCATTCATATTCTCCATCAGTATGGAAACCCCAAACTGAGAGACTAACTTAAAAAAATGTGTTTGACCTATGGTTCCAGTGGAGACCCTCTCAAAACTTCCCCATAGGGAGATGTCCTCAATCTCAGGTAATTGATTGCCTTCATGCTGAATAAGGACAAAAAAATATAAAATACATGAGAAAGTCAAGCACCATCCATCCATCCATCCATGCACCCATTCCAAAGTTTTCTCTGGATATCTACTGTGTACCAGAGCTAGAGAGATATGAGGGTCCAAAACAGACACAAATTCTGTATTGTTATAGCTCATATTCTGGTTGGTAGTGAGACAATAAATAACGTACATAGTAGCCCCAGTAATGATAAGAGTTAGAGAGAGAAGTAAAACAAGAAATAGGATTTTAGGAAATTGTGGATGCAGACGTTACAACTGAAAATATCTTCGTCAGGAAGAAAGTGGTAAGGAAGGGAGCCAAGTAGATATTTGGGGGATGCGTATTTCAGATAAAGCAAACAGCAAATGCAGATGCCCTGAGGCGGAAGCATGTGGGAAGTTTCAAAATATAATCCAGAGGCCAGTGTGGCTAAAGAGGAATAAACAAGAGGGAGATATTATAGAAGAAGAGGTGAAACCAGAGAGGTGAGCTAGATTATTTATTTTTTCTTTTCTTCTCGAAGATTTATTTATTTATGCATACAAGAGCTGGGGCACAGGGCAGAGATACAGGAGGTGAGAGGATTCAACTTAGACAGAGTGGGGAACAGAACAGGCAGACTGACTGAAATACACTGCTGAGGGGAGCAGCGGGCGAGTCAGGAGAGGTCTGCTGTGCCATGTGGGTAGCTCCATGGCTGGCCGGGAATCGAACTCATGCTGCAGAGGTCGTGGATTGCTTCACAGTGTGGTGCTTAACCCCTTGCACCACCAGGGAGACCCCCTAGATTATTTTTTTTGGCAGGTTTTATATGCCTTTGAAAATCACTGGTGTTAAGCAAAGCAATGACATAATCTGACTTGTGTTGAAACAAGGATTACTCCAGCATGTTTTTGGTCCTGATTAGTTGGAAGGAGGCAGTTGCTACTGACTCAGATGGGAAGACCAGGGCCTCCCTGGTGCAATCTGTGAAGCAATCCATAGCCACTGCAGCACGAGTTCGATCCCCAGCCAGGGAGCTACCCACATGGTGCAGCAGACCTCTCCTGTCTTGCCCCCTGCTCCCCTCAGCAGTGTATTTCAGTCAGTCTGCCTGTTCTGTTCCCCACTCTGTCTCTGGTGATCCTCTTACCTCCCCCACTAACACCTCTGGCCTGTATCCCAGTTCTTATATGCATAAATAAATCTTAAAAAAAAAGATGGGAAGACCAAAGTTAGACAAGAATTTGGGGGAGAGATAAGGAGTTCAGTTTTGTACACATCATGTGAAGATATTGAGTAGACAGTAGGATAAATGAGTTTAGGGTTAATAAAAGACATATATCTGGAGTTAGAAATTTGGAGGTCCTAAGCATGGAGTTAGTATTTGAAACCATGTGACTAGATGAGAACCCTAAGGACATGAATGAAATAGAGGATATTTAAAGATAGAGAATGGGGACATTTTCAACAGTATGGAGTGAGACTGTTCACATACCTACCAAGCATAACTTATAATGCAATTTGGAAAGTTGCTTAAAAAGAAAAAAATAGTATCTATAAAACAAGGTGCCAACATGAAATATGAGTAGGTAGATATAATCAAAAAGAAACATAAAGTGAAAAATATTCTTGAAATAAAAATCTCAGTGGGTATCTTCAACAGAGTAGACACCATTGAAAAGAGAATCAGGGGATGGGAAGATAGAACTAAAGAAATCCACCAAAGTGAGACACAGAAAGATAAAACTTCCTCAGATATTTCTTTAAAGTGCTGTCATGGGCAAGCTCCTTACCTTCCCAGCGGGGAATCATTGTCTCAAACAGTCAAGATTTTCAATCGTGGTCCAAAAATGGAAGAAAGCTGTTAACAGAAAGGAACAAGTAATTTATTTCTAGAAATGGAGAAAGATTTGGTGGCAGAATTGAAGCAGTGTGTGCCTGTCCCTGTTCAGATCACTTTGTAAGGATCAGGAGCAGTGAGTGGGAAGGGGATCTTGAGGGAGGGCCTGAGAGGCCAGGAGGTCCTTCTGTTGGTTCAGAGCAGCTTTTCCTTGTGTCCTCTGGAGTTCTTCCTGATTCTCTCCCTCTCCTTTTCAATAGCATTCTACCCCCAGTGTCTTCTCACTAATGATGTTATAGCTTCTCAGGGTATGGCTGGGCCTTTTCACCATTAATTCAGTTGCTCAGTAATTTTTATCAAGCAACTTTTTCCTGTCAGGCACACATGTGGTGAAAGTAGGGGGTATAGACATAGGTCAGACATGGAGCTAAGCAACTGACTTGGTACTAGACACATAGTCAGCTCATTTTCACACAGCGCGATGTCACCAAAGGGGTTATCACAGGTGCTGTAGGAGCAGTGCATTCTGTGACGTGAATAATGCCTCAGAAAACTGGTAGAATTAAATAAGAACAAGTGGTGGTGGCACCCAGGTAGTGGCAACAGCTGGATTCCAGGCATAGGGATATGCAAGTTTGATACATAAGGGAAACACTAAGTTGCAGCTTCAAGTGCAAGTGGGGGAGTGACTCTCCATATCCTTCAGGATAAAGCCTGAATTCCTTAGCTCTGCTTATGATGTCTTTCATGATCCAGCCCCAGCCTCATCCCTCATTACCTCCCTCACCCACTTTCTATTCTCCCACCAAAGATAATTACCCTGCAGTGGCTAGCACTGTACCTGGCTCAAAGTATCCAACATATGTTTGTTGAATGAAAAAGGGAAGGTAGAAAAAAAACACTGGAAAGGTAGGCAGTGCTGAGCCCTGGAAGGTTCTGCTTGTAGTGTCCAAACCCAGGTATGTGCACCTAGGAAAGACCACACCATCCCCGGGGTCTTGGATAGTGAATTCGAGTCAGAGAACTCTGTTTCTGGTTCTTCAACATTCAGGATTCTGTTGGAATGGACTTTGTGCTCTCTCTGTTCTGCTTCAACTGTATTGTGACTCTTTTAGGGCCAAGGGATGTCTAATGTCTCATTCACACTGTTGGACATCAATAGGTGTTAAATTAGGTCTGTTTATAGATATACGCCTGTTACATCTCTACAGAAAGGGAAAACATGAGACGAGATATAGAGAGGCCTTGTTTGACCATTAGAATAACCACAAAAGCTGAAGCCAGAAGTCAGTATCCACTGATGATTCAACCACTGCTTGGAAGACAACAGCAGACACAGTCGTCAGGGGCAGAAGAAAGGGGAATTACACTCCCATATCTGGCTGCACCAAACAGGCCCATGCACTCCTCAGCCTGTGGTGGAGGGCCTTTGGGCAGGAAAGAGTAGACTAGGTTTCCCCTATTACTTGTTATCCAGATTGAGAGCAGGGTATCTGAAGCAGAAGGACAGGTGTGTGTTTCTCTGTGCATTTGTTTGCAAGTTCCACTGCAGAGAAGCAAGATTCTTCGCTTAGAATGGTTTTCTAAAAAATTGTGAGATGGGGGTGGAAAGCCCTCAGAACTCCAGAAAGGAGAGGAACACATCAATGGCACTGTCAATCACTCAGCATCCACTAAGTAATTACTATAAACTAGGAGCCGCATTCAGCTGGGAGACACACATGACATGTGAACACATGAAGGACAAGATCAACACATCTGAAGGCAAATATGAAACAATTAAGAGTGAAGTACTTACTAACAATCTCCACAATGAAGGATAGCAGAGTGGCTGAAAGCATTCACTTAGGCAAAAGTGAGCTTGTTCGAAACTGAACTCCACCACATATATAATTACAAAGCAGTTATTTCACCTGTAAGCCTTGTTTTTCTCATCTGTAAAATAAGAATAACATCTACTCTATTTTATAGTTGTGAGGATTACATGGAATAACTGATGAATTTAATATGGTATTCAGAAGTCCTGGCTCAACAATTAAGGCTGTGTACGTTGATACGTTGACTCTATCACTTCCCAGCTGTGGCCTCAGCCAAGTTACTCAATCATGGTCTGTTTGCCCATTTTTTAAAGATTTATTTATTTATGCATACAAGAATGGGGTTATAGGCCAGAGGTGTGTTGGGGGGACAAGAGGACTCACCAGAGACAGGTGGGGAACAGAACAGGCAGATTGACTGAAACACACTGCTGAGAGGGGCAGCGGGCGAGACAGGAGAGGTCTGCTGCGCCATGTGGGTTTCTCCTTGGCTGGCCGGGGATTGAACTCATGCTGCAGAGGCTGTGGAATGCTTCATAGTGCAGTACTTAATCCCTTGCACCACCAGGGAGGCCCTGCTTCTTGTATCTTTATTCATAATCTCCAAAGGCTAGAAGCATTTAGTGTCCTCCAACAGGCAGAAAAACGATGGGGTTCTATTCAGCAATTGAGTAACAAACTACTGATTCATGCAGCCACAAGCATGAACCTCCAGTGCATTATGTTAAATGAAGTCAGACTCAAAGGCCATATACAACAGAGGTCATTCATAGGACATCATGGGAAAGGACAAACTGTAGGGCTGGTGAACAGCTGAGTGTTAAGGGTGTTGTGTTGACTTAAAGGGTCAGCATGAAAGCTTCTTGGGGGTGATGGAGGTTTTGTACCTTGTTATAGCATCTGTGTGGCTCTATGCATGTCAGCTCTCACAGAACAGTACATCAAAGGGGGAATTTCATTGTAAATTAAAAAAAAAAAAATGCCCCAAACCAGTTTATTTTTTATTTCAGGGAAAACTAAATGCCAAATTGTGGAGAGGTGGGGAAGCAAGGAATACAGGGCACGAATTTATCAGGATCCCCTAATGAGTGAAGGCTAACTTTATTCAGCAAGAGATGAGCTTGTTCTCAGAAATACATCTGATAAAAGTTGTCCGGAATTACTCTAGCTGTGCGAAGGACACTGAGAGCTCGCAGGTAAGTCCGACTGCTCGCCTGCTTGAAGAAACAACATCGCCTGTGCTGGAACCAAATGCTCCAAGTTCAGAGATCCAGTACTTGACACGACTGGTGTCTGGCAGTGTTCTAGGAGCGTCTGCAGACATCCTGTCTTCTGTGGGCCCCCAAGTGAGTGCTCAACTTTATATTGGTCTGATTCTCACCAAGGTTCCCCACGAAGCTTACCTGCACAGCTCTGGATGGGTGCTCACCGGAGGGGACGTGACTCTGTGGCCAGGTTGTTCCTCCTTTTCTGCGAAGGTCAGTTACATCCCAAGCGCTGATCCTCTGCTGAGTGTGCATATTTCCCAGTGAAATGCACCACACTAATGTGCTCATCAACCATAAAACCTAGTGATGGACGGTCTCTCCCCTCACCTTGCTGGTGCGGAGAGAGGTGAAGGCAATCTAAGGCCTGAGATGGTCGGCCCCAGGGTTACAGCCAGGCATCAGAACTGTCCACAGGAGCCCGGCTCCAGAGAAAAACCACACGCCAGACCTATTTTGCTTATAAACAACTTTTATTTTTGTTCTCAGTATGTGCCCTTGAAGATTCCCAAATGTCTGGAGTCTCTGATTCTCCTGGGACCAGAGGTAAAAGCATTGAACGGAGTTGCCCCACACCTTGGCTCATCACTCTCGCAGGAGCTCAGTCTGAAGGCCTCAGAGAGGGAGTTGAGACTCACACCTTATTCCAAGGTGGGTAACACAGTGAACAAAGAATTAGTAAGACACAGACTCAGTCTGTAGAGGGCTTCAAATATACATATTCTATATATAAACCTGTTATATAGGATTTCAACGTATTGGTTTCCTTGTGATTTGTAACTAAAGTACAAACGATATAGATGTTGTACACTGCTGGTGTCCCCTTCTTAGCCCCCCTCCCTCCCCAACATAAATAACGTTACAAAGGTCAGGTGATCCTAAGAGTTTTGTTGTTGTAAATGTTTTGTTTTGAAAGTCATTTCCCCTTCCTCCCCTGCAAACTACCTCTGAGAGCTTGTAACACAGCAGCATGGGACGGACAAGACAGCACGGGGATCTAACGGCGCGAGCACGGAACGTTGCTTCTCACTGACTGGCACCAGATGGGCTTTTGCATTTCCACTGACAACAGAGGCTACGACAGGAAGCAGAGAATGTGCAATGCAGTTTCTGCCTCCGCTGGAGGAGGAGGCTGGCAGGACCACTGAGAAAAGCCCTAAAGGCATCGAGGTTTGGAGACAGAGCACAGCTCCAGAAATGTCTTGGCTCAGTATTTACACAGTATCTTTAAGCTGCATTTTCCTCTTAAGGAATCTGTGTTTCTGAGGTTGGCTGGGGGAAAGAAGGAACTTAAAAACAGAAACAAACCAATTCCCACATATGTAAAAGTCCTGTTAAAAGTCTTACTCAGTTATTTTCACACACATCATTAAAAATAGATACTGACAATGATTGGTTTCTTTTCTTATTCCTTTTTAAAGGGTGGGGGGGGAGGGAGAGAGGAAAGGAGAGAGGAAAGAAGAGGGGGAGCCACAGGCGAGGCGTGCACTAAGGAGAACGCCGAGCCTTCTTCAGCATTAAGTGACACTGGATGGTCTGGATTCGGTTCTTGGCCGGGACAAACTCGGGCTGCAGCTTCAGGGTTGATTCATACCACACCAGAGCTTTTTCAAACTCTTCCTGTGAGGGGCAAAGGGACAAAGACGAGAGGGACCGCATCACCAGGCTGAACATGCCCTGTCCTTTTCTCTTGAGAAGTTCCTCTGTGCTAATGACAATACTGCGGTATTTTTCTCAATGGATCTGAATCTGAGGAAAAGCCTGAGGTCTGGGAGGAAACAGCTGCTGAGATCCCCCAGGTACAACATCACAGAGGCAAGAGGGAGATCAAATTTACCCAAGATCTGCCCAACAACAGGAGTAACTGTGGTGACAACGGTAAGCACTACTGTTACTGCGTACCTGCTGGACGCAGGGCACCATGCTGACTGAGATGAACTTCGCCATTCAACCCTCACAGAAACCACCAGAACTATGCCTGGCACATGTTCATTATGCAGCTGCATGAACTTTCTACCATAGATGGAAAGATGGATGTCAAATCGGCTATCTCACTCAGACCTGCAAATTTTGAAACAGATCTGTGTTCTCGCCAACATTTAAACATAAAGTATATGGTTTGAAAATGGTCACTGCCACAGTGAAGGTGCTGACCTTTTAGACTAATACTCTCAAAGAGTGCAAACCACTGGTTAAACGATTCCTTCTAGCCAAATGAGGGGTAGACGTCCTCATTCACAGTAGCAAATTTCACATTTGCTGGGGATGAAAACAGAGTCTTCAAGTTTAAGAAGCAGAAAGGGGAAATCTGCGTACTCAGCAATGCCTGCCTGGCCAAATTACCCTTCCTGCCTTTGAAATTGAGGATGACACAGAAAACTCACAGCCTGAGGCTGCTTATTCTATCAACCTTTATTGAAGGGT